TTTTAATAACAAAGAATTTTATGTAACAATACCATACTAGAATACAAAACAGATATTACTGAAAGAAATTAATCAGGATTTATAACATGTTCAGAGATTAGAAGTCTTCAACTTTATTAAGATGTCAATTTTCCCCATATATGATCTAAAGAATCAATCCCAATTAAAATCCAAAGGAATATAATCTTCAAAAGCTTTAAATTACTTTCATAGTTCTCACACATAAAGTCTAACACACAATAAAAATGGCTATAAGAATGCTCCAGATAATCCAATCAAAACCAGTAAGTGTTTTTTGTTTTTTTTTTATAGAAACAGAAAAACCCATCTTAAGATTCAAATGGACTTTTAAGGTACACTAATTAGCCAAAACATTCTTGAAAAAGAAAACTGGACAACTCTTATTTCCTGAATTTAAAATATTAAAATAGGAGCTGGAGAGATGGCTCAGCAGTTAAGAGCATTGTCTGCTCTTGCAGAGGATCTAGGTTCAAATCCCAGCACCCACATCGCAGCTAACAACCATCCATAATTCCGGTTTCAGGGGATCCAACGACCTCTTCTGACCTCCAAGGGCAGTACATGACATGGGTGCACTTACATACGTGCAGGTAATACACTCATACACATAAAAAATAATAAAAATTTTTAAAAATTAAAATACTGTGATAAGAGGTTGGCAAGGTAGCTCAGGGGCTAAGGGTGCTTTCTACCAAGTTTGATGACCCTGAGTTTGGTCCCTGGAGCCCACATGGTGGAAAGAGAAAGCTGATACCCACAAGTTGTTCTTTATCTCCATATGTGTGCCTGTGACATGCACCTCCCCAGTAAATAAATATAAAAAGAATAAAACATTATGATAAAGGTGCAAGTGCAGACTATGAACTAGTGGAGCAGAACACACAAAATAAACTCTTACATATGTAATCAAGTTATCAAGACCATTCAATGAGGAAAGGACAGGTTTTCACCAGATGGGGCTAGGAAAACTGGACAGTTACATTAAAAAAAAAAACACCTTATCTCACACAAAACATAAAAATTAACTCAAAATAAATCAAAGACCTAAGCATAAGATATAAAAATTTCAGAAGAAAACCAGGGAAAACTTCACTTCATGATACGGAGTTTGGCAATAATTCTTAGATATAACAATAAGAAAAAAAAGTTGTGATGTAATGAAAATTAAAACCTGGGGCTGGAGAGATGGCTCAGTAGTTAAGAGCACTGGCTGCTTTTGCAGAGGATCCAGGTTCAGTTCCCAGTATCCACATGGCAGCTAACAACCATTTGTAACTCTAGTTCCAGGGGATCTGACACCCTCTTCGAGTCTGGCAAGCATTGCATACATGTGGTGCACTTACATACATGCAGGCAAAACATTCATACATGTAAAACAAAACTAAATAAATAAAAATTTAAAAAATTAAAACCTTTTGTATTGTCAGCCCTCATGCCAGTGTAATACTGGTCTGGCAGAGCCAAAAGAGACTAAATCTGCCTAGTTAGGACACAGAAAAGGAGGCAAATTAGTTTACTTCATGGACAAATGACAAATATTTCTGGCATGGGAAACAAGTATGTACTAAAGCATGGAGTCAGACTCAGCATGTTTGAGAAACTGCACATAGTTCAGGATCCTAGAACTCAAGGTACATATGAGGCTGGGCATGGTGGCACACTTCTGTAATCCCAGCACCCAGGAGACTGAGGTAGGTAAATTTCTGCAAGTTTGAGGCTAGCATAGGTAGCATATCAAGTTCCAGGTCAGCCTGGACTAGTGTGAGACCTTGTTACAAAATGAAACAAAACAAAACAATACAAAACATACAGAAAAGAACAAAGTGAATTTTAAAAGCACAGTAAAGTAGAAATCATAAAACGAAATGGTTAAAAATTGCTTGAAAAATTCCAGTAATAAAACAAAATTTCATTAATTCTGATTAAAAGAAAAAATTATCAGACTAGATAGTTGTTGTTTTTTTTTTTGTTTTTTTTTTTTTTTTTTGTCTTTTTGAGACAGGGTCTCCTTGTAGCTCCAGCTGTCCTGGAACTCACTATGTGGACCAGGCTGGCCTCGAACTCACAAAGACCCGCCTGCCAGACTAGAGAGTTTTAAGAGGTTACTTGGAAGATAGAAAGCATTATGAGGCTCAAGGAAGGTTGCTACACAATTATAAAAGGGAAAATTTTACCAGAATACAGCCAATTGTAAATTTATATGGGCTTAAAAATATTGTTTCAAAGTATTTTAAGCAAAAGTTAACAGAAACTATGTTTAAGACCCCAAATCACAGACCTTTAAGCAAGGCCTTTCAGCATATCTCTTCAATTATTGACAAATTAACATACAATCCTGTATTATTCATTAAAGAACCCACATTTCTCTCTAGTACAAGTAGATCATTTCAAATTCTGCCCATTTCAAAGCAAATTTTAACAAACGCTGAAGACTTTTTGTTTGTTTTTTGAGACAGTCTCACACTGTCACCTATGCTGGTCATGAATCTGCTACAGTCCCCTGCCTTAGCCTCCTGAGTAGTGAGATTATATGTGTGAGCTACCATGCCCAGGTAACACTGAAGAATTAATAGCAATTTCTCAATTAAAAATATTAGCTTATAACTCAGTGAGTTAAATGATCAACTAAATAAATTATAAGAGAAAAAAAATCAAAATATGTTCCGAGAAACTTAAATGAAGGAAAAAATAAAGAGGGGGAAAGTTCCCACTTAATGTATGCATGGTGAGACATATCACATTTATAAAAAATACTTGGATATTTCACCACTGTAGTACTTCTATTTTTTTTTGTGAATTTAGTTACCCATTTCACCAAAGTATACTTATCACTGATTCAGACATGAAATTATTTGCAAACATTCACTATCCATTCACTCAATAATTACATTGCTGTTTACTATAGGGCAGGCACATTTATGGGCAGTGAGACAGAATGGGGCTGTTTACATTCTATTAAGAGTGCCAGTATACAAAGCAATCACGTTCACACATTTCTACAGAAATCCATAGGAGGAAAAGGTTTGTTCTGAGCTGTGATGGGATGAGAAATTAGGGAGGAAGAAGCCTTGAACTGTAAGTAAGATTTGAGTAAGCCCACATACAAAGAGAGGGCAAGATCAGCTACAAATTCAAGGCAAGCAACATAATACAAAGTATATGTAACAAAAAAAGTTCTTCTCAGTAGAGCTCAGAGCAAGGAAGAGGTAAAGGCCACAAAGGTGGTTTATCACCAAACTGTAAATGGCTCTAGAAGCCAGGCAGAGAGGGGAGATTTTACATAGGCAGTAGATATGTAGGTGCAGGATCTGTTGTTGAATTTTGTTTTGTTTTAGCAGGAATGGGGATCCAGGAATTTGGTTTAGGGACTATTTCTGTTAGACAAACCTGGGGTCAGGAAAGTTTGAGCTAGTAGGACAAGACTAACAGCAGAAAGCACTGGCGAGATGAAAGACAGATGGCAAAGAAGAAATCTAATCTGACAGCTGGATGAGCCAGCAATAACAGTCAAAGGTGAATCTGGGTTTCTAGGTGACAAGATAGCTGGGATGCCACTAATAGGTATAAGGGAATTCAGGGAATAGTATGGAATAGGGTGGAAATGAATTTGTCAACCTTGGATATGGCTATTACAGCCTACAGTGAGGGCTATATTAGAAGTGCAGTCCTAAGGTCCTTGGAAAGCAATTATTTTCTTTATAAGATAATACATGATTTAGAATATATCGGCCATTCAGCTCTCCTTTGCTCTCAGTCCCCTCTGTCCTTCCCATCCCACTCAGCTCTGATTCCTTTCTCTTCAGGGTTCATTCCTGCCTCTAGGTCACATAGTTCATTTCAGATGGTGCCAATGCTACTAACCTCTTAAGCTGTGCAGTATGATGACCTGTTTTCATCCTCTATCCATCACAAACCCACAGAGCATGGTGTCAATTACTCATTAATTACTGCTCAAAGTTGGAAAGTAGGAAGAAATTAGATATATTCTCAAAAACCTAGTATAGATTACCAGCAAAATTGTCTGTTCTCTTTCACTGCAGGTACATTTTTGAAAACAAACTAAAAATACATTTATCCAAGGTACAAAAGCAGCATGGCAACCAAACCTGCTCATCTTAATGAGTCTCCAAGTCCTTGTATTCTTAGTGCTATCTTTCAACTTAATCAGTGCAGACAGCTTGATGGTTCAAATACTCTGATCACAGTGGAATTAAATTATATATAAAGTAATTAAAAACAATCACAAAGTAAAAATACTCACAGGTTAAAGAAAAAGTCATAATGGAAATTTTCAACTCAGAACTGAATAACAAATTAGAATGTTCAGGATGACGTTGCAATGCATTTTAAATCTCTTTAAAAATAAGTATTATCTATTAGAAGAAAAGGCTAAAGACCAGTTATCCTGTATTTAAGTATTCTAAAATCAAAACAAAATGTCGTTTTAGGTTTTTTTATACTAGTGATTTCTCTAGCTATTTGCCCTGAACACAGACTGTTTACCCTAAATTGCTAAAATTCAGAGGGTTCACTAAAGTGAATTCTTTTTTTAGAATCTGTCTAGGCTAGTAACTATCAATGCCAATTTAAAACTGAACACCATGATGAGATGTTTGCTACTTTGTTTTGGTTTATTTATTTATTTATTTTTATTTTTATTTTTTGGTCTTTTTGAAACAGGGTCAGTCTCCCTGTAGCCCTAGCTGTCCTGGAACTCACTATGTAGACCAGGCTGGCCTTGAACTCACAGAGATCTGCCTGCCTCTGCCTACTGAGTGCTGGGATCAAAGGCGTGCGCCACCATGCCTGGCTTATTTTGGTTTATTTTTTATGTAATTTTGCCCTACATAAAGAGGATATGAATAATATTTTTATACCTTTTCATTTTATGCTTTTTACTTAAAAAAATCCCTCCTCAAAGAAGTTAGAAAATGACAAAAAAATGAAATTACCCTCTCCCCCCAGTCCATTCCACTCACCTACAAAATGGGCTGGGAACAGTAGGTACCACATAACAAATCCCCCCATTCAGGCAAAATGACCTGTGACTGGGACCACAGGGCTCTTCGTGATCTAAAACACACACGCATATGGAATAGAGAAAGGCAATTAAAGTTGTTCTGATGCAGTTGGGAACTGGAATAACTAATCTTAGAATGAATTAGCATTTCCAAAAAGTAGAATGAAAAATCTTTTTCTCAAAATGAAATAATTTTATTCCTTTATTCATATATAAGGATGTCTATCCCTTTGAAAGAAAAAATATTTTTTCCTAAAAATATGGCTATTGACAATAACAAAATTAGAAGCTACGTAACTATAGAATAAGAGACCTTTACATAGTTACATTAAAACAGTGATCAGGATCTGAAAATCAGTAGAGATTCTGTAGTACCCACACATTTCAAGTCCAAATGCTGTATTTAGATTCTTACTTTGCTATTTAGGTCTCAAATATATTAAAATCTGAGATTTTACTGAGAAAAAGAAGATAATTGATTAGATATTGATTTCCAAAAATCTTTACATATCAATGTTAAAAACCAAGGGACATCAGGGCACAAAAACTTGACTTGATAGGCCTTAATATATGACAAAATGAATGAAATCTGGTGGTGGTGAGGTAATGAGGGGGAGGGGGTCTAAATATGATTAAGATATATTGTATGAAATGCACAAAAACTCAATAAAAATGTACATTGAGAATTAAGCAAAAACTAAAGACAACATAATTTCATAAGGCTTGATTTGCAAGAGGATTTTGGGTTAGAGCTAATAAGTATAAAGATTATTGAAAGTCTAAGCAAAACTGAACACTTGATTTGTTGCTTAATATGCAGCCTAAATGCTCAGAATATTAGGGAAAGGATCCTTCACTTGTCTCTTGCTTCCTCTTTCCCTCTTCTTTCTCCATCTTTGCCTTTTTCTTTCATCACTCTGTAATCTTCATCTGCTGCCTTTCCTTTCTCCTCTAGTATCTCTGCTTCCTTTCAGATTTACACCCCCAACCCCATGTATTTTCAGTGCTGTTACCAAAGTCATTGTTTTACAAAATAATCACTGTAGTCAAATTCATTGAGTCATTATACTATTGTTTATGATGAGAAAATTAAGAATTTTGTCTTTTGGTCTTACAGGGACTATTATATTACTTTAAATTACATGTTAAGTTCTTGATTATTTCTAAAACATGATCTAGAATCATTTAATGTGAAGAAGAAATAGTGTTCCTTCCATTTGGCATTAAAAAATAGTATACCAATTTAAAAAACCTTGTTAGTATTTTTGCCACTAAAATATCAATACCTATATTAGAATATAATTGCTGTGAGCTTGACATAACTACTATGAGCTGAATTAAGCTTTCTTTTTACTTTAGAATTGTGAAAATTTTGTTTTAGAATCACATTATAACTATGAAAGTATAAAAATACAAAGAGAAAAACCCAGAACTACAAAGAATATGTGTGGTAAAAAAAAAAAAAAGAGGAAAGTAAACTGGCCTAAAAACTGGCCTAAACTAGTCCTTTTAGATTCCCTTTTCCTTTTTATACAATGCCATGTTTCTTAATAATGAAACTTCTAATATTATATAATATTTCAGGAGTAATTTGGCTAACAATAAAGTATCAGTCACTATTACACCAGAACCATGAAAGGTAACACGTATTCTAAATTGGTAATAGAATGTGACTATCACCCCTGAAATTAATGCCTTTGTTTTTTAACTGAATTATCACAAGACATATCTCAACATTTGGTGTTTTATTAGTAAAGAAAACTCATCTAACCTGACTATCTCTGAATCTGTATTTTTATTCTCATTGTGAGTTCATTCACTTCTTATTTGAGAAGTTGGTATTAGATAGAAAGGTGAATTTGTCACTTTGTAAAAAAAAAGACAATAAAACATGTAAGCTAAAAAAAATGAAATAGTTTTATGCTATAAAGGTCTTTCAAAACCAAAATAATATTTTGAAAGACTTTACATAGGGAACAATATAGACTTATACTAACATATACTTACTGTTTTATTGCTAAATAAAAACACACATAGACAAAATATGAACTTATAAGAAATTACCTGTTGGCATCTTAATTTTTAAATAGTTTCATTCTTGGTGAAAGGATTAGGGTTGAACAACAGCACCTAAAATAGTTTAAAATTAATAATTTAGGGGAAATTATCTTCTTTGGGGGGGCATTATAAATTGTCACATGTTCTACCAGCAATACTCTCAAAGGTTGAATATAAAGCATTCATATGCTAGTGACAAAATTAGAGCATTTATTTTTATATATTATATAGCAATAAAAATGTGGATAAAACAAAAAAGGTCAACATTAAAAAGAATACATGTATTAAATATAAATCATTGCCTAAACAAAAATTATTTCTGCAAAAACCTGGAAAATTTGCTTCTAATAAACACTTTGATATAAAAATGTACCATATGAGAATGTACATGGAAAGTAAGAGACAGCATATTAAATTAAATGATCTGAAGTGACTTCACTTTTCCATGAAATCTACTTTTCCATGAAATCTATTAGTATTCTAATCTCTAAGCAGAATCTATAACTTCCCAGTTTTTCAATTTGTTGAAAATGGTCAAACAAAAAAAATCTTAGAGCACTTAAAATTGTGTATGTCTATAGAATCTTTAAAACTTTTATAAAAGCACTTCCATGTTTACTACAGATTACATACTGCACCTATTAATGTACACATGCCCGTTCTTAAAAAAATGGCATTGGTAAGGCAAAGTAGTTAAGGAGACAGGCTTATGCGTGAATTTTTTGCATTAACAGAAACAAGGGCATTAAAACACATATTTGAGGAACTGAAGCACTTGTACTTACACTCTAATTACAAGCTCTCAATTCTGTTTTATAAAGGTGTTGGCGAACTCCTGACTTAAGCACAGAGACTGCAACAGAAATCTTACTCTACAACTTCCTATTAACACAGGTGTATTATCAAGGTCTTCTCCCAAAGTCAAGTACTTTTTTTACAGACAAGTAGAGGAGAAAGAGGGAGAGAGAGAGAGAGAGAGAGAGAGAGAGAGAGAGAGAGAGAAAGAGAAAGAGAGAGAGAAAACAAGAAAACATACACA